TTACAAAGCCTCTTCAACACATACTTTGTCAAAGGGACAGTGAAGCACCAAATAAAAGAAATTCAAACCTCAACCAATTAGAGTATCCTTAGGCTTTTCACAAATCTGTTCACTTTATTTCTTCCCATCTCATCAGATGTGATTTAAAAACACGAGTCTGCATTTCAAAGGCCTCCTTTCTTGTGCCCATTAATGGCCTGCTTTGGAATTTATAGCTTAAGAAGAGGGAGACCTCTTGATTTCTATACAAGATATGTTGATTAAAAGTTTGATAATATTAGGGGATATTCTGGGATCTTATTTCATCTAGAGAGCCTGGATTCAATATGGTTTGCTTATAGACTACAAAACTGCTTAAACAACAGTATTTAAATTACCACAAGAACAGGTGTTGTGATTTATAATGTAAACTTAAACATCAAACACAAATAGCCTTTGGGGGATGTTCAGAAGACAAGAATCATGCCCAAGAGGCCTTTCTCATCCCTTTCTTTCCGACAAAGTAATTACTTATAGTACAGCATACTATAATACATGAGGCTCTAGTATTCACATGTTAAAGTCCTGCAAACATATGTATTACCTGCTAACTAAACACCTGAGATTAATTGTTCCTGCTCACAAGACCTAAGGACTAGTAGAATAAAATTTTGAAATAGAAACAACATTAAACGCTATATATACACAATTCTTCTGAGTGCATGTTTATATATATTTATGTCTAAATATATATAGCTAATCCATGCATGTCATATTTAAGGATATCCATGTACATGCATTCATACAAAATTCAAAGTATTCATTTAAACAGCCAAACAGCATTGAGTTTCAGAGGTCCTCATTAAAGAAGGATGAGCCATGCAGATGAATGAGTATACCCACATATGCACACGCTCATATAAACCGTACCTGTGGTCAGGTAGATGCCCATATGACTCCTTTTATCCAGAATTCCTACAAATTCTGTACAGTAACATAGATCTGGCCTCAGAAGATACAGTACGGAAGTTTTAAAGATAAACAGACACATAACATGTTATAAACATATACTGCCAAAATGGAACAAGGAGATTGATTCTTAATTAAAAGTTTGGAGATGTAAAGAGCTGGTGAGTACTCTGGTTTATTCTAAAAATAGGAGAGCATTTACTTGTTTGCCTATTTTTCTTCCAGAAGTCAAGCCATGCACAGATTTCAGAGATTTAATTTTCCACAAGCACAAGCCATAAATTAAAATACAGCAATCCAATTCCATTAATAGTGCAAGAAAAAGCTAAGTGGCTGCTTTAGTCTTTGCTTTCATGAACTTGTGTCAAGCTCAGTGACTTCAAAGAGATTTCCATTTCATTTCTACAAATGAAGAGAACAGACAGACAGAGTCTCTGCCATCCTCTGATGCCTTAAGAAAACAGAAGAAAAACATCCCTGTATCTCATTCGCCTAATGATTTTAGCTGCAAAAGGAATCCCATGGTTGGCAGACGACCCTCAGGGCAAGGGCTTGAGGTCTGTCACAGTATATAAGGCTTCTCCAAACCCACTCCATTATCTTCATTATTGTATACCAGGAATAAAAGGGGACTGACTCCTCTTCTGAAGTTCAAGTTAGAAAGGACAGAATGTTTCATGTAAAATAACACTGTGTGACTTCAGTAATAGGTTTATGCCTTTGGGGGCCCAATACTAAAGCTCTATATGCGGATTTTTGCGGAATTTGAAAGAAGAAAAACGAGCACTGTATTAGCAGTAAGTAAAATTCCACAAGTTTTACACTGAATGAAACACTCCACGCCTCTGTGTCAGCATGCCTCATTGTCAGTCACATACTTGCATACAGCAAGAGTAAAATGGCAGGTTTGGGCAGGGGGAGGGGGGAAGAGCATGGGGCTTTAGAGCTAAGTATAAACCCCTACAAAAACCAAAACCATGCACATATACAAGGAGGAAAAGGAAGCAATGAGTGGTTTCCTACAGGGGACATGAGCAAGGGCACATATAAAACAAATTAACATGGAAACCATTTATATGAACAGTGATGCCTCCCTTGTCAGCTCACATGTGGGTACATGTATGTGCTTACATATATGCATACATACATCTGTGTATTCATGCACTCTGAGCAGTATGTTTCATAACACTGTAAAAATCCTTGTCCTTTACTGAAAAAATGTACTAAGTATTAACTCTTACTTTCTAACACACATAATGTAAGAAAAACATTTACCTTATACCAATGAAGTTTCTTAAAAAGTCAGACTTGTTATAAATATTTTGTTATAAATATTTTGTAATGTCTCACTTGTCCTCAAAACCCATTCAGGAAAAGAGACGTCCTTTCCCTGACTGATATGAGGTTTGGATCAAGACCTAAAGTTGTCTACCCAATCTTTCTCTTTTTTCTGTTTTTGAAGAAACAGGCCATTTGAAAGAATGCTTCATGAGCACATTTCCCACAGTAATTCAGAAGACAATTTCAAACAATAAAACTGAAGCAAACATAGACCATTGTACAAGTCAAATAATATAAAAACTTTTGAGTACACAGAGAAATGGGAATCTGGCTTATATCTGGTCTTTGAAAGATTCACAGGAAATTGATTTAATTAAAACTTGAGCTACTGGTGCAAATGTTTTGCTTTCTTCCCAAAGAGATGTTGACATAATGCAGCAAAGTTTAACCAAGATTCTTGGTCGTCTTCTACAAAGCTTCACAAGCTAGCAATACTAAAAATTATTACTGAAAAACACAGTCATTGTGCACTGTTGAATTGTTACCTACATCTACTACCAGACATTCCTACTTGTAACTTATTTTATACATGGAGAAATTCATTAATATGCTAATTAACTGACTAGCAACCAGGGATGACTGACAACTTTACTTTAGCACTACATGATGAAGACATGACAATAAGTATATTTTCTGCTGGAATTCAAACAGAGAATACATTGTGCTTGCAGTAGTACATACTTCTTTTAGGTAAAGAGACTCATATTGGTGGAGGATCTCTATGAACATTCTTGCCATCTGCACCCAGAAATATGTATTTTTTAATTAGCCACTCTAAAAACAATCATGTTGGCTGAAGGGAGGGGGGAGGGAGACTTGTCAAAATGATGTATTTGTCCCTCAGCACCTTTCAATGCTCTTATGCAAGTCTAATTTTCTTCCTAGACAGCTCACCTCTCTAGCCTCTTTTTGTTTCATGTCCCATTTCCCATTCTCTTCTAACTTCTGAACTTTTGTTAGTTTGCTTTTAAGGAGAAAGGAGAAAAAAAACCCCAACCTTTTCCTATTCATTTTTTCCTGGATGAGAAGTAAGCAGACATATGAATATGGCACCCTCATAATGACTTAACTAGGGCTTAATGAAATTTTCATCACAACCTGCTGTTCATTTTAATGGCCTTTGAAAGACAATAGAACAATGGCTAGAGGGAAGAAAAGATTTTCTGTTGCATACATTTGCAAAGCCCAACATTCAGTTGCTCCCCCTCCTTTTTCTCCCAACATCTTCACAAAGCTGTAGATCTTTTGTTTGCACTGTATATTTTCATTTTAGTAGAGCTGAGATAATGCACAGGCTCTGTAACCATTCTCATGTCTATCTGTGGCCTTTCCTTAATGGAGTCTGTGCAGCTTGTACAACCTCATACTCAAGAGTGTTTACACATTGCCCAGAACCTCCTGTTCTTTTCTCTCTTATATAAATATCTGGTTGCTTCACCCCCACCCCATACCATACATAAGAAAGAGCTTTTCATTCAAAGGCACAAGGTGGGTCATGGCACTGACCACTAAGTCAAGTAAATGCAAAATAAAATGCTATGATTATATGTAATAATCAAAAAATGTTTAGACAAAGAATTTGTTTCTCAGCAGGCCCTTACTATGTGCTCCAATCAAGAAGGGAAGATTAATTTACAATCCTGTCATGCTCATGTGACAGTGTGGCTGTGACTGTGTGGCTGTGTTCACATCCATATTTTCATTCCAGCGTGCAGGTTGTCCTAAAATTTTCTTGTAGGTGTTATCAATCCATGCTTCAGAACTGAGTGCCATACTTTTAAACATCTGAATATATTTCTACAACAGGATAGGTGGGTGTAAATGAATATGAAGTCTTAGGGAATAAGGCTCAGCATGTTCACACACCATCAATTGTCTCACAGTCCCCTGGAAATCTAGCTGTAAATATGCACGCTGGATACCTATGGAAAATATAGTGGGAATTTCATATTCCAGTCAGGGGTTTGACTGCCCCAAACAAGCAGGAATTGAAAATCTTACTTAAAGGAAAGCTTTTCTGTGGCTTCTCAGAGGCAAGATGTTCAGTCTTAGTCTCAGGCTACAGAGTACAAGTGGCATCATTGACTGGACTACATTCTCAAAAAGAAACTGATTCTCCAGAGACGATAAATATATGCCAAGGTTGAAACTTGTTGGCCAGACATAATGCAGAAAAAGCCTGTACTGTGTCTATTTGTGTAGTACCTGCACTACAGATAAATAGGGAATGACATGATAGGACATGCTCCAGACAAAAGTTTTAATGAATTCCAAATTTAACTTCTTATTTTTCAAATAATGACATGCCTACTAGGTAATTTCACAAAAACATTGACATTGCCAATAACACTGCATTTTGGTCTAGAAATGGGAGAGGGGGGAGTAGTGGTGGAAATGACCTCCAGGCTATTAAAATTAGTGTTCATTGTACCCACATTGAGAAGGTTGCTGTGTCTATTGCAATGTGCCAAAAAGACCTTTATGTCAGACAAAGGCTCTTATTTGGGAAAAGCTGAAAGTGTTAGCTATGATGGGATATTGCTGAAATTTATCTCTAACACAGACAAGAGCTATGGGTTCTTTACTTCAATTTTGCTAGGAAGAAAAAGCAAATGGAGCAGAAAATGGGAAGATTAAAAAGTATATGTATCCAAAGAATTTGGAGAAAAGAAAACAAAACAGAATATTTTGGCCAGTTTCCCATGTCTTACCTTCTGGCTCATTTTTGATGAGCTCTTCCATTTTTCTTTGCTTAAGGGTGTCTACCACATCTGCTAGGCTCCCTTTGCGCCTTTCAGGGGTTCCCAGGGCTGCACTGGACAATGATTCTCCGCTCTGACGCCCACCTTCTTCTGCCTTCAAGGGTGAGGTAGATGAGTTGTGCGGGGCAAATGAAGACATGACTTTATTGCCATCAACTTCCTGAAAGGGAGAAAACTGAGATGAAACATTTCTTTCTTTTCTTAAAGAAGAAAAAAATAAAGACGTAAAGAAAGAACAATCCTTTGTTCTTTGAGTTCATCGCTGTTTGTTCTTCTGTTGAAACCTTTAAAAAGGCATGCAATGCTTCAAAAGAACCCAGCACAAAGCCCATCCATAAAGCATAAACCAAGATTACAGGATGAAGTGAACAAAGATCAGCTTGCAAGAGATAAACATAAAATACAGTTTCTCCCTAATTGAGAAGAAGTGTTATACTGATAGGTTTCCTAAGAAAATGGTATTGATTACCTTTAATTGTTTGTTCTTTTACAGCTTGCTTTCAAAAAAATCTTCAATTTTTACAAGGACCATTAATTTACTGGCTTTATAAAGTACTTAATGCTGTGATGGCTAGTTGTAAGAAATTAAATAGTAACCAAATACTAAATGCCCTTTGCCATATAACTTATTTTAACTCACAGTTCAAGTAGTTCTCCCATCTATAAAGGACAAAGCAATTGTTTTCTGTTTTCTAATTCTCCCTCTATTCTCCTCTTCCATCTCACACCTTCATTTCTTGTAGAGAATATTTTTCACAAAGGTGGTCCTAATGACTTTCACTGGTGGCAAAACCTTTGTGACTTCCTGGAATACAGACAATCCTCCCCATGTGAAAGTCCTACACATTAATTTTAACAGAAAACAAAACTGGTTCCAGCATCTTCAAACTCGCCTTTATTAATGTGAGAGCCTTCTCCTCCACACCTCCTCCAACATAAAGCAATGCTCTCTGCATATATTCCTTTCCCTTTTTATGTCTCTTATACCCTACCCTTTTGTACACATCTCTGAAACCCTTTTTTTTTAACTCTGCTAACATATGTCACATATACCTTGCAAAACTTAGGTCAATGTCTCCAAACAAAGCTTGCTGCAGAGTACATAGACTATATAATATAATGCTGCAAACATGAACAGTTTTTATTTTGATCAGATTCTCCAGGTTTTTTTCCCTTTTTCATTATCCTATTTCCTTATGTTTTTGTATTCCAGGTGTTTAATGAATACTATTTCTAAAGAAGTCACTGGTCCATCCTGTGATCTCAGTTACAGACTTGGTTGAAAAAGGTCTTAATTTTTAAATTGTTTTCACTTTATAGGGTATGAAAGCGACACAGATACTGTTCTTAGTGATTTGTGTTACAATTGTATCACTTTTGTTCTGAATAATTTTTTCTGTCTCTGGTTTAACAAACCCTAATATTTCAGCAAAAAATGTGTAATTTTGTAAATAGAACATATATTGCTAAAAGTTATCTCAATAAAATCTGAATAAAGCAACATGGAAGCTATGAAGTAAAGAATGAATGTGTTTTCGTGGACTACTTTGTTTTGGCAAAGAGATTAACTCTGGTTAAGGAAACTTCTAGTGCAAACAGTTTTGAGCAGCTTGAATGTGTTATACTAGTGAATAAATTCCCTAACAGAATCGGATTTAACTGAGATTACAATCTGGGCCATCATATGCCCCAAAAGCCAAACCCAGTGATGTTAATGAGGGACTTTCTGCTGACGTCAGTGAGCTTTTGACCAAGTCCTAAAAAATTTTCTGACTCTAGACAACAGAAATGATCCTTTTTTTTTTTTTTATTTTCCTTGCAACTCCCTCCATTTTTGTTCTGCACTTGCAAAATTACTAGTTGCTAACAGTGGATTTAAAAAACAAGTTGGAGCCAAATATAATTTTTTTTCACATATATAGACTTGAATAAACTGTGTTTTAACACTGACCTAGATGAGCAAAATAGTTAGTTTCACCATCAGTTCAGATTTTATCTAACATTCAAGCCCAAAATTTCCAAGTGGCAATTCTTTTCCTACAGACAAGGCCAAGAGAGGAGATGCGTTGAAAGCTGCTTTCTCATTCACACTTGGAAGCCAGATAAGCCAAATACCGTCCTTAGTTACAGTTCTTAAATCCACGTATACCATCAATTATATGTAGGAACAGTGTAATTCCTAATTTTAACATGAACTACTTTTGTGGTTTTATTCCAAAGTAGGCCCCAAAGACACTCACTTGTGTTTAAGTGTATGTCACACACTGGTCACAAAGTACTTGCAACAGCTGCCTAAACCTCAGGAATCACCACTGATGTTTCCATGTACATGTTGGGTACATGCAAGTGTTTTTATAGGTACAAATATATTCTGGGTATAAACCAAGTTTGTAAGAAGAAGCATAAGAATACAAGGATTGAATGATATGTAAAATAACGTGATTTTCAAAATCACAAATTGCTTGGCATTCCAATGGAACACAAAAGTATTTTCAAAACTACTAAAATTTCCCTGCCTCTCTGGGGAAAAGGAATCATGGGGAGGAGAGAACAAGAGAAGAGTTTGTGGGTAAACCATGAAAAGACTCTGGATACTCAGTTCTTAGTTCTTTCAAATGTTCTGTGTTACCATGGAAAAAGTCACTTTTGTTTCTGCATTTCAGTTTCCTACCATTAAAACAGGCACAAAAGAAGTAATTTCTAATATTATAAAGGTCTTGGAATGATAAACTCATTAATAACATGGAGACGTTCTACTACTACAATGTTAGCTAAAAGCATTTATATAGTACTACAGTTAAGAAGACTTCATAGCTGGACAAAAAGGGACAGGGAATGTTCTACATTTTTTTTTAAAAAGATGAATTATATATTAAAATACACATCTAAGTAATCATCCCCAAATCAAAATGTTTCCTTACACTCCTTGTTAGGTGTTCATGTATGCAGTGTTTGCATATCACATACATGGGCTATTTATATACTTGTGGGGTTTAAGACACACTCAACTTAATCAAAACACATATACAGTAAGGGAACAGCTGCAATCACTTCTCAGTGGGCTAAATTACAGTACACCAGTGAATTATTCATTCAAAAAATCTGTAGCAATCACACATTCACTGCGTGATTTGCAATCTAAGAGGAAACTCCTCCTTTCCATACCAACAGATGAGTGCATACATCAGCTACTGCTGTTGATGAGAGTTCAACATGTATCCTCCAGCACACCAGCTCAAGAATCTGTCTTCCCCACTTGTCCATGATCTTTTTATTCTGTCATTCAGAACAACCACCTGAAATGCTCGACTGTTATCTCAGCTTTTGCTTTATGACCCTCTGTTTTATTTTGCTCTTTCTTATGCCATTACTCAGGAATGTGAAGAAAAATTGTCAATGATTCTGGATTTTTACCACATAAAAAGAAAGGATACTTCCACATAAAACCTACTCACATCAATGGGTGTATAAAGCTAATAAACTTCCAGCAAGAAAAATCCTCTGATATTACATATGAGAATTTAACTAGCCCCCTGAAAACACTCAGAGAAATCTTTTATAGCAAGAAAGATACATCAGCAACAGTTTAAAATTAATCCACTGAGAAGAAAGTTCCCTTCCAACAAGTTAGATTTAGCAGGTTCATTTTTGAAAGGACAAATTCATGTGACTTTTTCCAGTTAACTAAGAGAAAAGCAAAAACACTGTGAAGAGTGGTATTCAAGAACCTAGATTTCTACTACTGACATTTTAAAATTAAGTCCATCGAGCCAAACACAAGACCTCTCAGTCACCAAAACAGTGGAAAAGCAGACACTCCTTTACCAGAGAACTGTTGCTCTCAAATGGGCAACCATTTCACCTGTTCAAGTTTGATTACATTCTTGCCTCTGGCACTGTCAGTCCTGGTAGGCTTTAAGCAGTTAGAAGCTGCTTCATGGATGGGGCTCTATTGTTCATTTGCCTTGTGAATTGCTCTGCTAATGTGTGCTGGCACAGTTTCATGGAACTCTGAGCTGGGATTGTACTCACCAACACCTGAGGCTGCTGCTTCTTGCTTTTCCCACTTCAAAAAGGCAGATAAGGACCTACACAGATCTTGCTGAATCAGACACCCTAGGCCCTTCTTTCCCCCCTCCAAGAGCAGCAACAGAAAACAGGACTGGTCCACGTTTAGCGTCTTCTTCTTCTGTTCCAAGCTAAAATCCACAAGAAGACTTGTTCATTTACAAGAAAGTTGCCTCTATACTGCCAAGCAGCTTTCCACCTATGGAGGAAATACCTCTTCCAAGGTTTAATGATAAAACAGGCTTCTGCCCTTTCAGGATGAGGTCAATAATCTTCCTTTGTTAATCTTGGGCAAGCTTTACTTAATCTAGCCCCCTTGTCACCTTTGTGATTGACAGGAAAAGTCATGTCACCGGACAATGGACTTACCCTCACTGAGCAATACCTTTTTTACAGATTACACAATGTTACCCTTGCTCTCATAAAAAGCGCAAACATTGTGTGGTTAAAAGAAGCTATTCAAAGAAACTGTATCTTTCAAATTGTCTCTCTCCATTACCAGGGTCCAAACGAGGCCTATTTCAGTTTTACAGAGGGACAGTGAAATGCTTAATGAAAACAAACAGGTGGTATATATATCTTGGTGAGATTTCCAAAATATCTCTTAGTACTCTAAATAGAGGTCATCTTCTCCTTCCTCATATAGAGATGCACATTATTCCCATCTGTAATTAAACTCAAGACACAAAACTCTGTTTCTGCGACATAAAAATTTTGTCCCAAACCAACCAACAATCGAAGAAGAAAAGTCAGAACTAAGTCTGAAACTGTTAATTACCACCATATGGTATGCAAGGAGTCTGCATCTGCAGCAAAAAAATTATGAGAATCAAGCTTCTGGCTTTGCAGCCAAAAACACCTGGAATAAAATACCTGTGTCTTTAAAACAAGCACTGATATCGTCTGATTTTAAGAAGGCGGTGATCTTAAAAGCAACCTAACAGGTTCTTTTTTCAAAGCTGGAATTTTGACCATACTCTGCTCTTTTAAAAATCGGAAAAAAGACACAAAACCAAATTTTTTTGCTCTGCTTTCTACATTACACATATAGGCCTATCTATTTTAGAGTCTCCATAGTGACCAGGAAGCATG